CCCAGATTCCACGTAGAAAAGTCTGTCGTGATGTAAAGTGAGACCCCCCTGGACCAGGAATGGACTGACCTGAGGCCCCCGCATCCTTGCCGTGGCCACGTCATCTGCCCGAGTCTGTGCCTGTGTGTGTTGCCCATGATCAGAATGGAACCCACAAGCTGACAAAAAAGCGGTGACCTGGCGGGTTTGTTTAAAGTCCCTGCGAGACCGTTGCACACCCGTGTGAGTCCAGTGAGGTCCTCAGTCACCTGCGGGCCCCGTTAGCAAACAGGGTGACCTCAGGATCAGTCTCTCTCTAGCGCCCGGCTGTTTGATTTTCCTCCATGATTTTTTAAAGTCAGCGGTAGTTAGCTCTGATCAGTTCTCTGATCGGTGCCAGCAGCCAAGTTTAAAAGCCAGGCCAGAGCTGTTTTCTGATGACAGAACTAGTTTTTTGCTGATGTTCAGAAAATGCACGAGGCAGGAAGGAAAGAAGAAAAAAAAAAGAAGCAAGCACTTCAGTTCTGAGAGTGCAAGAAAAATGTAGGTTCCGCCAAGCCAGTATGTATGCCAATGCTCTTGCTTGGGCACAGGACCTCTGCGGGGTTCCAGGTTGCATTTTACTTCCAGAGAAGGAGGTAGCTGGAGCGAAGACAGAGCACGTTTGGTTTTTCCAGACCATCAGCATTCGTAGTTAAAGGTTTTTGTATTTTTGGAAAATGTGGAATGATGGTGGTTTTTCCTCGGTCTGGTTCTTCTGGAAATAGGTAATGTCTGTGCGTGTGGCTGCGGCGCTGGCCTTTGAAGAGGGGTCCTGAACTCTGAGAGGGCGGTGGACCAGGAGGGAGGGAGTTTCTGGCAAATCCAGGGACTGGGGGTGGGGGGGGTGGATGCATGTCTCTGTTCACTTCCTGGGGAGAGAGCGTCCTCGTGTTAGACTTGAGGGGGTTTGGAGGGACTAAGAGGTCTCGATTCCTGTGGGAGGGCAGCAGAGGTAGACAGGTGACCTCCAATAGCTGGGCTCCATCAGGTCCAGTCACCCTGCACAGGGGATCAGGACCAGCAGGCCAGGCAGGGAGGGGGCAGGTCCAGTCCATCCACAGGGTCTCAGGGCCTGGAGCATCTGGTGGGACCGCTGGGCACAGTGACATGGAGGGTGGGATCTGTAATGACAGGCAGTAAGTGTAGGTGTTCGTTGTAAATGAAACCCATGTGCCCAGGTTGGTCATCACCAGCCAGGACTGTCCTTTTCTACCCCAGATGCTTCCCCATGCACGGCTGCCCCGGGAACGCCAGGGCCTCCCAAAGACAAATACAGATCTGCACAGGCCCCCTGTGAATTCACCTCCCACCTGAGGTCACCGGCATCGTGGGATAGAGTCTCGCCGGCTGTTCGCAGGGGTGTTCGGGGAACTTCTGCTTAATGCCTTGTCCGCAGGCTCGTGGGTCGCCGGGTCTGGGCTGTTGACTTTGTGTCCAGGGCAGAGGGCAGGTGTGTGCTCGTGCCCCTGGGTGAGAGAGGGAGCAAGTGAACCCAGGAGAAGGTCGGGGAGAAGGGCATCGGATGTATTTGCCCACGTCCACGTGTCCTGGGATGAAAAGTTCGGCTTCTGAAACAGATGCATAATGAGATGGGAGAACACCGAGTCCTGCCGGCAGAAATGACTGAAAACACCGCCCTCGCGGAGAAGCAGAGTCTCAGTTTTCACCGCGACCCTCAAGGCCGTGGATTTAGAGGCAGCCCACCAGGATAAAATCCCACGGTGGCTCGCGGAGATTTGGGGTTTTGCCCACATTTGCCCGTGGTTCTTCTTGAACGTGGTTTAGTTTAAATCATTTGTTTTTGTTTTGGTTTTTTTGGGGGGGTGAGGAGGTAGTTAGGTTTATTTGTTTGTTGGTTTGTTTATTAATTATTATTGTTTTTTACTGGAGGTACTGGGGGCTGAACCCAGCACCTCGTGCATGCTAGGTACATACTTTACCACTAAGCTATACCCTCACCCCCATGGTTTAAACCATTTGGGGTGTGTAACCTCTGTTTTTAGCACAAAAGAGAATCTGTCTTCCTTCTGTTAAATCAGCCCAGCCCAAGCTGCAGAAGCCGTATTTGCATTCTGAAGTGTTTTCTAATGTTGACGCTCAGAGAACTAATTTTCCTCTTAGTTTCCTGCACTTTCAACGTTGTTATAACTTTAATTGCAGGATATGGTTGAGGTTGGAAATTATCTAAATTACTTCCAGTGTTTTGGGAGAGGGTTTCATGGTCGTGAATATGAAAGGAAATCATGGAGTCCTGTAATTTCATGAAATGAACAGAAAAGAACCCCATCCATTGGCACAACCTTTAGAGTGCTGACCCTGTGCTTGGGAATGGGGGTTGGCGAGCATTCATCCCGTGGCTCCTGGGTACCAGCCACTTCAGGAGCTTCTAAGGAGAGTTACTTTGCAAAGATGTAAAACTGAAATGTAAATTCAGGCCAGTGAGTTTGGAGAGATTGAAGGCACAGGGAGAGTTTATTTTATGGGTTGATGAGGACCACATTCATATCAAGAAGAAGGCTACCTTTCAACATTTCTTATATGCCAAGAAGTTAACCTCTTTTATTTCTCATAACATCCTTATGAAGGAGGAAATTCTTTCCTTCTACTCTCTTAGGTTCAGTGACTGGGACCTGTAAATTAAACCAACAAAAAAGCAAGTTCATAGGAGAAAAGGTTTGAAAAACATGAAAACAGAAAACAAATGAAACTGAAAAGTAATGAAAACCCAAAGAAGCCTGTAGGCTTGAGATTTTTACATACCGTTTCATAAAAGGCAATAGATTGTGTAGAGGTGATTAGACAAAGGGCAGGAGGTCTGGGCTCTTAGGCGTGTTAAATATATGGGGGAACCTAATGGAAGAGAAGGGTAATTTTAACAAGATTTGTTTGTGCAGAGTCATCTCAGTGCCATCTTTCTTTCTCCAGTGACAAGGATTGCTCTCTTCCTGGTATGGGACAGAGGAGGGGGACAGCTTCACAAAGGGAATTTTATGCCCTGCTTCTAGGCAGAAAGGGGAAGGGCAGAGAATTCCTTCTGTGTCTACTGTTTCTCAGTTGTTTCAAGGCAAAATTAATCTTATACCAAAGCGGCCTATTTTGAGGTGGCCTCTTCCAGCCCCCTTCATTGTGAACCAGATAAGTGACAGTGTTCCCATTATACAGACGAGGGCAGTCAGTCAAGCATCTTGCCTCCCTAAGCTGGATTTGCTTCTAAGGGATGGAACTGGGATTTGATCCAAGATCTGTCCAACTTTACAAAGCCTATTGCTCTTCTGTTACAATACACGATGGGGACTGCTGTGTGGAAGTGGGTTCCCAGTAAACATTTCAGGAACCCTAAGAAATCCACCGAGTCGTTGCTCTAGTGTTCATTTCCTCCTTTGAGTTACTCCAACCAACTTCCTGCCAGTTTCCTGGGAAGGGTGGTCATTGGCTTCACGGCTAACATCCTGCTTGTTAATTGGGGGCAGAGTTCACGCTACCCTTTTGGATCAAAAGCATGATAACTTGAATTCTGCTGTTCTGCGTGGTACAGTAATTCAGTCCAACTTGGGTCATAACAGCTGTCAAATCAGTTATTTTCGTGGAGGTAACACACTGAGAAGTCAGGTACACAAGAAGTATTCAGCTCACAGTTCCAAGGTTTTGTAGAGAGCTTGCTGAACTTCCAGACGAAGGATAAGGCACCAGGAAGATGATTCAATATCGTGAGCTTTTTACGATTTAATTGCTGCCTGTCCCCACGCGGAATTGAACCCTGGAAGGCATTTTCTTTTCACCGTCACAAAATGCATTTTGATAGGCAGCAAATAAGATGCAACTCTGGGGTTTTCTTGGCCAAACACAATGAAAAAGACTCAGTTGAAATTTGATTGTCTGTTGATAAACACTTTGTGCATTATTTCAGCCAGTTCCAACTGGATTTATTTTTAAATTCGGTTTCTGGAAATTGTTCTGACAGTAAGTAATAAAATCAGATGGTGATTCTAATACAGAAAACAGAAACACACCAGGATGGCAGGTACTGCCGTGTCCTGGCCTCTTAGCACCCTGACTGAGCCGTGTTCTCTGGATGGGGAGTCTTGGGGCCCTTGGAACATAGCAGGGTGCTACCCAGGCAAGAAAAAAACCAGTTTCCATGCTGACTGCAGGGTAGAGAATACTTTAATACTGAATCCTCTGTCATGAGCAAGCTTTGTTGTTTTGCAGAAGTAAATCAGGGTACAAACCACACTGGTTACATCCTGAACCACACCAGATACATGAAAACTGCAACTTGAGAGTTTCTGCCACATGCTTTCACCTTCCTCCTTCCCGTTGACACTGGCTTGGTCACCAAAAAATAGTAGGTGCTTCAGCCATACTGTCCATGTCCTCCCAAACTCGGCGACATAGCTTCCTCACAGTCTCAGAGGTGTTTCACCCTGAAGCGTGACGCGTGACCTCAGGGCCTGGCTTGCTCCTCTCTTGGACGGGGAGAGACTTCAGGAACAGCGGGCGCTGTGTCCTGACTGTGTGCTCCTGGGCCTGGCACATGGCAGGTCCTCAGCAACTGGGCATTTCATGGACCAAAGCCCCTTCGGTCCCAGTGGTCCTTCATGCGCTGCATGGCACCGTCACATGTTTTGAGCTCTCTGTGCAGATGACAGCAGCTCACAAGCATGCCAGAGTCATCCGTGTTCAGCGGTCATGATGATGTCTTACGGAAAACGAGTGCCCCAGAGCATATCATCGAGGCTTTAGAAGGGAGATGTCTCAGGGGAGGGGACAGCCCAGTGGTAGAGCGCCTGCTTAACGTGCACAAGGTCCAGGGTTCAGTCCCCAGGACCTCCGTTAAAAAATGAATAAACCTAACACTCCCCCCAAAAAATGAAAAAACAAATTTAAAAAGAAGAAAATATATATTAAAAGGAAACAAAGAATTAAAAGAATAAGGGAGATGTCTGGTCCTCCTGGGAGTGTCGCAGTGGCTGTAACAACGTGCTTACTTTCTTGCGTTTGGGACTTGGGAGAGACGGGGTGTTGTGAGGAAGCTCTCTGATGGTGTTAGCAGCCAGACTTCCTTCTGAAACACTCACATGTCTGAGAAAATTGTCCTAATATTAAACAGCTATAAATTGGGTCAGTATCAGGTGAGTTTCAAATAATTTGTGAACCTCCCATACAGATATCTGAACCCTGCCTGGAAGTTGTCTCTGTCTTAGTGATCCCTTTTGAAATATATATGTAAGAATAAAGCAGAATTCTTAGTGACCAGTCATATTAGAGAGGAATCCCACTGAAGGGTCGTCGGTGGCTCTCTGGAGAAGATGGTTCTGTTTTTCTGCATCCGGAAATGTTAGCAGGAGCGTGCTGCTTTCTCTCGCCAGGGTTGCCCTCTCCTGGGTAGAGGCGTTGGCCTTTGTCACCCTTTCTGTCCCGTCGATGGTGAGCCGCATCAGTGCTAGCCTGCACAACCCTCCCTCCGACGTCATCCCAGCCCGTCCCTTGATGGAGGCGACAGCACAAAGCCCTGAAGGGTCAGCGGGCTGGTTTGCAAAGCGGCCTCGTTTGGGCAGAAACGGAGGCGGAGGGAGTTCACAGTGGTCCCTTTTCCCCGACAGGTCCTCAGCATGATCATCAACGCCGCCTACAAGCCCGGGAGGGTGCTGCGCGAGCTGCAGCTGGTGGAGGACCCGCACTGGAATTTTCAGGAGGAGACGCTGAAGGCGAAGTAAGTGTTTTCAGTTCTGGAGAACCAGGGCCCTTAGCAGTCCTCGCCTGCCGCTTTGAAACTTGTCACTGCTCTTATTTGGCCTCGTCCAGAGGAATGGACACGAACCAGAGGCCTGTCCTTCTGCTGTTCTGTGTCCCGAGTGCAGATTTATTGGCGTATTTGCTGTACAGAGTTGCCTTAAGCTTTAGGATCCTTGAAGTGAAGAAGAGCTGCTTACCTGATACTTGATTGTGTTAAACGTTCAGAATAAAAACCTACTGTGCTTTGGGGCCAGTAGATGATTTGATCCAAAGGGAAACGTATATAAAATGAGGATTTCCTTTTGGTCACTACACATTTTTCATCTTAATATTTGATACCGTAGAGTTTGTGCCAGATAAAAACGCTAGCTACTTTGAGAGTTGACGGTTTTAAAAAATAGGAAGAACCAATAAAACCTCTGGTTTTGGTCAGTGAGCTGTGGGTGGGCATGTAGTTGGTCCCTTATTTCATTTGGAAATAGGCTAAGTGGAGAGGTGATACTTTGCTTTGCTTGATGTTTCTTGATCTCTGAAATTGAGGATGCCCACGGGCTGGCGGGCTAGAGCTCGGCTGTTTAGGAGACAGACAGAGAAAGACCCATTTCTCAAGATGACTTCCTGTTGCATCGTTGCTTTGGCGGTTTGAGAGGACTTTTAATTCACTCATTGTTTTCGAATGGAATAGGTCTCCACTGGTCAGCCTCCTGTATAAGGTGCCCTAACCCTTCATTTAGCTGTAACATTTAGAAAATGACGCTGTTTTATGGGGAAGGTGATA